ATTTCTGGGCAGTAAATAACGAATACATTGCTGTAAACAACATACTGCGTTGACACTGCAGCTCCTCCAGATAAATATGGAAGCCATCTACACTGTTTGATCGAACACTGTACTAAAATTGTGGCGTCTGATCCAACATGTTGAAGAAAAACCAAAACTGTAACTTCAGGTGAATAGCTGAGTGAACAGTGGCTAGCAATCATCAATATGGTATAAGAGTGACCCAAAGAAATGCAATACATCAGCTGTGCGAGTACTGGAGTTATGCTTTACCTGCATCATTCAACCCTCCATACCCTCCTCTTCAGCTCACAGACTGAGTTTAAGCATTCAGGTCTGAGAACAGCCAGCCAACACACAAATCTCGCTGGCTTATTAGGGAAATTCTGTTCTAAGCAGGCCCCAAATCAATTTTTATAAATCTGTACTTCTCCACAATATTACTCAAAGAAATCTCATAACCAGCACTGAAGAACAGAGTGTACAGCCTGGAGCGTAAAGAATGTTGATCCACCGTGAACTGAACACTAAGAACAAGGAAAGAGAATTACACTGAGCCATCTCTGAAATGTTACACTTCTAAAAGCCAATTCACAAAACAACATTTAGTCTCCTGTCTGACGGAACAGATACGCCTTTATTCTAATCGATGTTTCAGTCCATGCCAGCTGTGCTAAACGCGCGTCTATAGCCTGTCAAAACGCGAGCTCTTCCGTCCTGCCACACTTTTTTATCTACACATTCTTTTCGCCCCTTACAACTATTCATTCCCACTTTCTATAGCTTTATTTGAACTGTATTTCAAATAATATTTCCTACAATGTTGAGATATTGTTGGCCTACATCTATTGTACTATACTATTGCCAATGAAGGCTACTGTCATGACAAGTGGCCTTCAAGCAAACACCAACTGGGCTAAAAACTTGCACCTTTGTCATAATGAACGGCTCTGCTGCTTTTTCTTTCACATCATAAAATTGCTACAAAATTGGTGAAATAGAAAAGAGGGTAACAAAAAGAGCTGTACAAGTTTTCATCACTGGGTCTTTTATCAATAGGTCTGGAGTTATACTGTTGGATTAACCGGTGAAAATGAATCTTTGCTTTAGATCTGACCTGTATTACAAGCACTTGCTTGACTTTCAGAAACCAAGCTAAAGATGTGAGCTTCAACGTGAATCCCTCCAGTTCACCTTGCATTTAAAGGGATCATTCGTACATATAGAATACGTCTCCTACTGAGATGTATGAAGATGGAAGAGAAGCTTTAGCGGAGCAATGGGAGGGAAGAAAATTTGACATTTGGCAACAATGACAGAAAGTGTGTGGCATAAAAAAACTCCCCAAATCTGCACAATTTATATTCATCTTTCCCTTAAATTTATGAAAAGCCATAAGAAGGTCCTACAGGCTTCAGGAGCGGTTACATTTCCACACATGCACACCTGCATACACATACTTATTGTCTTTAAAGCATCCCAAAGCACCCTTATGTTTCCAGTCTCGTGCAAACAATAAACCCCTCTAAAACAACTCATGGGCTGGCACGACGAGAGGCGAGAGGGTAATAATGGTCTTTTCTTTAGCACCAATAATATTTACATTCCTGCTCAAACTCCCACAGGTATTCTAAACTCAGATTCTCTGCAGCAATTTCAACTTTTTTCCCCTTTTGTTCCACACAGCGCTGTATTTCAGGATCGTTCTAGCTTGGATTTTCATGACGTGGAGAAAAATTAAGCTTCATTGGCATTCGATAAGCCGAGAAACTATATGACGCCTGCAACTTTTAGCATTAAACGGAAAACAGAACTCAGGCGATTGCACCAGAAACGGAGAATGGATTACTTTTAGTATTGCTTTCCTAGTCTGAGAACTTGAAACAGATGTAATATTGTGTTTTACAGCCTTCTCCTCGTATCTCTCTGTGGCTTTTCATTGATATTTGTGCTGCCTACAAATTGCTCTCAAAAAGTCTCCAAAAACCCGCCTCGTATAAACACTGCCGTTCATAAAGCCTCACCGTAGCAAAAAAACCTCAGACTCTGGTAAAAACCTCTACCTGTCCACTATCAAAAATCTCTTCCTGACATCTCTTAGGGCAATCTTTCAGAACGGCATAAACGCAGTAACTCACATTCCAGATGGGAAAAAAAAGGACAGACTAAGGCTTATCTTTTGGGCAAACAGGCAAACACAGTGTAGGCTATGTTTGTACGTTTGTTTCAAAAGTCAGCAGCTCAAATTTGAGTAAAAAAAAAGCAGATAATTGAGATTCTGACGGCCTCCTCGAGGGTTTGTTTGGAAAAGTCCTGACGGGATTTTGACAGCTGTGGCCGTGTCGGTCCGAGGGGCAGCTTAAGATTAGTGTGTAAATATCTAAAGAATGCCAGCCAGTCAGCGTCTCAGTCACAGCTCAGACGGAAGGTGTTGATTGACAGACTAAGCTCATCTGCCTCAATGGCCCCCTTGATACAGACACACCTCCCTTTACTTCATACACAGGGCTAAATCTGATAAGTTTAAGCACAAGAAACTCTGGGACATCTCACTCTATGATTATCTGCTCGATAAAACGCGAATACAAGCGTAGAAAAGGTTACGAACTCCAACAAACTGTAATACGCCATGGAATTACGAGAAGAATTAAAACTAGACAGCGATGCTGCCTCCTTTTCAGAACAGAACAATGCAAAAGATGAGACTATATTCATCTCCTAAGCACAGCCATGTGGATTTGCACAGGGGGTCATTTACAGTGGAGGGGGGAAAAAAAAAGGCCTGCTACTTTCTCCAATCAGTGAAACTTAATGAAAAGGAGGAGAGCGTCTTTCTAATCCTGACCCGAAATGACACCATCTTAATGTTTGCAAGTAAGCTCATATTAGCCTCTGCCTCTTTAATGCGCATTACGCTAGTTAGAACAGAGCTCTTCTGTATTCAAGAGCTCCGACTGACACAAATACCTTGTTTAAAATTGAGCACAACTTCTCAAACATGTCAAATCTTATCGGAGAACTTTGCAAAATAATAAGGAAACGTAAAACCTTTTTTCACAAGTCCAAGTTAAACTACAGAACGCAAATGCAAAAGGGATTAACATATGGAAATAGTGGAGGCAGAACAACAGGGGAGGAGAGAGAGGCTTGCAGGCATGCTGTTAAAGATAATTTAAGCCAAGTCTGCCTTAAAAAAAAGTTGTATAGGCTGAGAAACAAAAGAAGATCCCTGCAATGGTATGCACCAAGAGCGTAAGGAGCGGCCATTACGCTAATGAGGGCCTATGGAGATCCCCAATGAAGCCATCAAGCACCCCCTCTGAATAACAATGCTGGCCTAACGCCTCAGTAATTGAATAGAGGGGACTGGGAAAGGAGGTAGAGCACGCAAGGAGGAGGGAGGAGACGGGGGAGTGAAGAAAAATGGGAGAAAAAGTTAGGGAAGGGGGCTGGAAGGGGGGGAGGAGGGGGAGAGGTTGCTGCTTTTCAGTCAAATGCTTGGCTGGTTCCAATCAAATCGCATTGGGATTCAGGGCAAGGAGAGGGATTTGTGGGTTGGAATAAACAATAGTGGTGTAACCCAGAGATTTAGAGGAGATGGTTCACAGTTTAGGTAAAGAAAAAGGGCGAAAAAAAAAGAAAAGAAAGGGAAAAAGTTGAACGAAAAAGCTTTTCGCCTCAGTTTGTGGAGACCCCAAACTTTCTTTCTCTCGTTCTCTTTTTAACAGCGCTGACGTACACCAACTCGGCCAAAGCGGACATGAATGCCTGCTGAGTCCTTTGCAAACGGGGCTGAAAGGAGCCACTGCACAGGCTAAAAGGCCAGTCAACTTTTTCCCAGAGCAGAAACTCAGCAGAACAAAAATCAGAAGGGCCAGAACGGGCGCGTCAGCTTCAGCGGCCCTCAAGTTTTTAACAGACATCCAGAAAGTGACGCCTCTGAGAAAAAAAACAAAGCACACCCTGATAGACTTTCAGCGCGACATCCCCCCACCATTCCATTCCCTTAGCCATACTAATCTAATTTTCACTCAGGCAAAACAAGCAAACTCAAAACGCTTAATTACTGACAAACGCTGGGCAGCGCAGAGCTGAATTCACTGGGTATTAGCTCCATTAGCCAAGCATTTCACAGACAAACACAAAGATGACAGCCAGGCAAAAGACATATTTGGACAAAGAACGACACCAGAAGAGCCAGGACCATGAAGGCATAACATCACTAAATCTTTTTTAGATATAAAGTATGCAGCTATAACTCAAACGCTGACCTACAAATGTCATAGACCATAATAAGTGGCCTGACTAAATCACATGCACCTATGAATTGTTTTAATATATATTTTTGCAGGGGGTGGGAGGGTCTTTTTAAAAGTATAATCTTACTAAATGGAAAAAATCACGACAACCAGCTTCACAACCTAGGTCTCACAAATACTATACAAACTTAAAATACATTTAAAGGCATGCTGCTGTCAGTACTACAACTACAACTACAACAGTACTACAAGTGCATGTGAACAAAACATCTCAAGTCATACAGAGAAATCGCAAGTTAACGATAAGATTGTGCGCCCACATCGGAGCCATTTATAGTCCACAAGATGAGATCACTCTCAACACATGCATATCTATGTGCTTGCATGTACACACATGCTCGTATGTGTAATCTATCTGGCTCAATATTTTAGTCATTTTGGACCATGTAAAACTTTTCAACTACAAAGATTTCACTCTGCACAAGACAAGAAACACAGTGTGCCATTTGTTCCTCGTCTCACAGAGGGTGAGCTAGGACAAGAAAAAGCAGTTTGGCCTCAACTTTTCTCAACCCCAGACGAACAAAAGAACTTCAGAGATACTCCTTGTTTTGGCCACTTGAAGGAAATATGGCAGTGTTCGTCCTGCCCCAGTAACACGGGCCATTAAAAGTGCTGTAACTCAGTGCATCCTCTGCGGTGTTGTGAATAAACTCATATTGTATGTTGAGGGCTACTCACCGTCCTGGCGCTGGGAGACAAGGCGCCGTTGGATAAATAAGGGCTGGCGAGATCCGGGATCATTAGAAACGGGTAGCCTGGATAGTGGGGGCTCTTAAAAAAGCCTCCATCTTGCTGTCTTCTCAAAGCTTTGGAGGAGAAACGAGAAAGGGTGAGATTAGGGCTTGAAAAACTAGCACAACTGTGGAAGTGAGAGTTCACCTAGTACATATATGAAGCAGAGATTCCCACCTTCACTAAAATACTCTCGGGCTTTCTCATAACTTTCAGTGTCGGGTCTGGGCTGAGGGCGTCTCTCTGTTTGCTGGTGGGTCCAAACACGAAAAGCACGGCATAAAATGAGAGTAAACACAAACAGGTCGTTTCCATAAAAGACACAGCAACAGCTTAAAGGGGAACACAAGAGATTTTTCAGAAATTCAACATAATTAAACGGTCGAGATGTAAACGGAGTCATTCAGAGTGGTTTGGTGTGAAATGCTTCCTTTTAGAGAAAACTACAGAGTGAGAATTGTTTACAGTGGAGGTGATAGGAACCAGACGTCCACCTCTAAAAGCTCACAGAAAGTTGTTGTATGAACTGGTTATGAATACGCAGCCTGATGTCTTAGACATTGTGTTAGAAAGGTTTTTTTTGATTAAGTTTTGGCTTAAAATGTATTTTAATTCTTTCATGGTGGAGAGGGACATGCAGGGTGCTGTAAGGCATAATAGTCCCCAAAGAAAACTTTTCACATTTATTTATTTCACCATCATTAACAGTACATATACAAAACAGAACTCATGTAGCTTCACTGGTGGTTTTGGATAGTAAATAAAATGACTATATTTGTGTTGTAGACATGGCGACCTCTGGTTCCTATCACCACCACTGTAAAGAAATCAGGGTCTCTACAATGAAGCATTTCACACCAAACCTCTCTGGGTGACTTTGTTCGCATCTCAACCACTCAAATTATGCAGAAATTTTGAAAATATTGGTTAAACTCCCCTTCAAGCCCCGTTGACAACAGTGCAACCTGTTGAAAAGAGCACCTTACCTCAGAATCGGAGGAGCTGCTGTTGTTTTCTGACTCGTTTACTAAAGAGGACTTCACGTCGTCCAGGTCCCTCTCGGCAGACACGTTTTCGGAGATTTTCTCCTCCTGTTCTCCTTCGTCTTTGAACGAAATCATTTCATCGTTCGCCCCCAAGTCATCCCCGCCGCCTCCGTTTAGCTGGGGCATGTTTAGTAGTTTAATATTTATTTTCTTTCCCCCCGACTAATAAAAGGTGCGAACGTTATCCTCGCTTCAACAACACCAACACAGGATCGCGAAGCCAACTGTAACGTTAGCCTAACGACTTTTCACAGATATAAACAGTCCGCTCAGTTCTCAAGGAGCATCGAGAGCACGAAGTTCTGACAACAACCACTTCCCACGGTTTCAGAAATAATCCTCGGCAAACGGAGACAAATCCGAGCTGTCCATGACTACAATGACGAACGACCCACTTGAGTGTGTGTATACGTTATTTCGCTTCAAATGGGTCCTGGAAAAAACTCGAAATGTCTCCAAATGTCTCAAAAAAAAAGAGTCGTGGGACTTGCAGCAAACTTGGCCGTGTGCTCGAGCTGCTAGCTAACGTTAACTGGTAAATCTGAGAACAAAGCGACGGGAGCACACCGAAAAACCGAAAAAAAGGGGAAAAAACAAAAGTCCAAGCCCAACTTCGAAAGCGTTTCCTCTTCCACTCCACTTTCTATAATCCACACTTTGCAATTCGATGCGATATCGTGTCCGAAAGAGGCACAAAAAGGAGTAAGTTAACACTTCTAACTTCTTTTCCTTCCTTCTGTGGCTGCAGGGAAGCCGGAGAGTAACGTTAGCCAAAGTTGCAACGGTCACGTCGTGTCGCCCCTTCACTCTTTCTTTCTCCCAAAAAAGGACTTTTACAGTTGAAAAAAAGAATACAAAACGTACAAAAATGGCTATTTGGGAAAGAAAATCATCTCTTCTCTCCAATCCATGGGCACGACATGACTTTTAAAGTCGGGAAATGGCTCAAAAGGCGACAAAAATAACCGTGTTTTTGTAGGACTTCAGTTGGTCGTCCGTTGGCTGAGGAGCAGCAGCAAGAGGAGGAGGAGGAGGAGGGAGGGGGGCTGAGAGTAGAACCCGGAGCTGAACACGGTGCTCGCGCTGCCGGAGTGGCGGGAGCTCGGGCTCGCGCGGCCAGCGGGCTCGTTTAGAACGCGGCGCGCGGAGAGGAGGAGGAGGAGCTCGAGCTCACGCGCTGTAAAACGACACTCTGAGCTCGGAGCGCGCGGACACAGCACACAGACAGAGAGAGAGAGAGAGAGAGAACGGGCGCGAGGCGGCTTAAAGGGACAGGGCGAGGAAAATAGCCCCCCACGGCAGGACCCCCACATTAAAATAGCTCCAGACTGATCAGCACAGGTAGAAGAAAAGGGGGCGGGGCCGTTCAGCGGGATACTGGCACACGGTTCGTGCGCTTTAGGGCAGCTTTAGGAAAATAAAAGTTTTTAAACGTTTTTTAAAAGTTTTTAAAACGTTTTTCTATTTTGCGTTTTTTATGTTTTCAACTTCTTTATTTTTTTAAACCTTTTTTATTATTATTATTTTTTTACAAAAAATGCCAACTTCATTTTTTCTTTTATTCTTTTTTTTGTCATTTGTTTTCGCTTATTTTTTGGAAGGGAGGTGCCAAGACTTTTTCTTTTTTTTTTCTCTCTCTCTTTTTTTTCTGACCAGATTTACGTTTTTTCCCTCTCTTCTTAAACTTTTCTTCATCTTCTTCTCCTTCTTTCACGCTCCACTCCTTTGGCTGAGATTGATGATGTCATGCTTTCCCAGACAGTTGCTTCACGTGTCACGTCGCCCCCCCCCAATCGACCCCCCCTAATCCAGCACAAAAGAACAACTAGGGCATGACCATCTATGAAGAAGCCCAGACACAAACACACACACACACACACACACACACACACAAACACCACACACACCACCCTATTTCATGTTTATACCGGCTGTAGTGGCCCATTTTATGGCTCTCAGTGTCCAGTGGAGAACCGAGTGCTGCTCATTATATCAGGCGGATTATTAATTACCACAGTAATCCAAAAAAGTTGGACTGCTTGACTTCAGAAGCCTTGTTTGAAAGACCTCTTGTGAGAGCTGCGCCTCTCGTTCGCACCCCTTCCCTCCCTCTGGCCTGTCTATAAGGGTGTGATAATAGCATGCTGTATAAGTCTGTAATGACACGGTGCTGGAGTAATTGCAGGTCGGAGCTGTGTGTGTGTGTGTGTGAGTGTGTGTGTGTGTGTGTGCGTCCAGTGCTAAGGTGGTGCTGCAGGACGGATAAGCAGGTTTGTTAGTGAAGGCTTTACTCATACTGGGTGACGGAATCCTCTGAAAGCAGCGTGATCCTCGAAACCTCCCACTGAGAAGCACCTAGAGGGCCACACGCACTCTACCCTCCATAACTGCTCTGCACTTTGTCTAATTTATTGATGTCCAGCTCCTTTCTGTCAGCTTATCTACTCACAGAGGAGTGGACTTCCTTCAGTGAAATAATGACTGAAGTACAAACATCCAGCATCTATTAGCATAGAAACTGGAGTTCGTTAGGCTCTATTCTTCTCTTTTTTTGGATCCTTTTGGTCTAAAATAAATTGCAAAAGTTGAAAACTAAGAGGAGAGATCGGCAGTAAGGCAGTGCAGGCACTGAGGGTTGTGGGATGTTGAAAAAGTAAATAGTTGAGATGCGAAACAGCTGTCAGATATCAATTATTACACCGCTGTCAACTGTTCCCATACATATTAAACTCTAATTGAAATCAAAACAGGCTGTAGATGACTGTTTAGTTTAGTTTTAGTCAGTAATGTCGAAAACAAAGAAGCACTGACCCGATCTGCCTTCATCTTACAGACGGAATTGTTGTTTTCAAACTTTTGAAAGTTTTTTTCACTCTTGCTTTTTTTTCTACTCATTTTTTTTTCACAAAAAACTTTATTTATTTATTTATTTTATTATTTATTTGTTGTTGTTGTTTTGCTTGTTTTGTTGGAGGGGTGCTTTTTTCTTTTTCTTTTTTCTCTCTTTTGCTCCCAAGAAAGTTTAAGTTTTTTCCCTCTCTTCTTAAACTTTTTTCTTCTTCTTTTGCTTCTTCCATGCTCCACTGCCTTGGCTGAGATTGACGGTGTCATGTCAGATATCAAATATTATACCACTGTCAACTGTCCCCATTCATTTTAAACTCTAATTGAAATCAAAACAGACTGTAGATTGTTGTTTTGTTCAGTTATAGTTGGTAATGTCAAAAAGAAAGAAGAACTGACCTGGACTATGATTAGTTGTTAACTTGTGCAACAACAGTTTTTTATAATCCTTCTTATTTCTGCTTAATGATCATCATTATTGAAGCATTTTTGCTAAAATCCATCCATCCATCATCTAAACTGCTTATCCTTCTGGGTCGCGGTGGGGTGCTGGAGCCAATCCCAGCTGTCATTGGGCGGAAGGCAGGATACACCCTGGACAGGTCGCCAGTCCATCGCAGGGCATTTTTGCTAAAATGCCTATCCAAAGTAAGAACTATGACGCAATGAGGGAAAAAAACATTGTAACAGGAAACAAAACTAAATCTCTATACTGAACATGCATGACGTTATTGTTAGTTAAGAAAATGTCAGCAGCTAAATGATAGTTTGGAACATTTCACGACAAACTGACCAATAGAAATGGGCCAAAGATGCTTGGAATAAAATCTAGTTCCATTAAAGTTTTTTTGTTTATTGTTAATTTTTCATTTTCATATATTTTCTTCTCCTGTAAACTGACCATTTTGGCGACACAAAGGTTTGACACCTCAGCAGCGATATGAAAAAAGTGTGAGCATCAAAATATTCCTCTGATTTTTTCCAGATTTTGGCATAATTAAATGGTTACGATGTACACAAAGTCATTCAGAGTGGTTCAATATGAAACGCTCTTTTCTAAAGAATCCGAGCTACAATTGTTTACCAGTAGTGATAGGAATCAGATGTCTGAAGAGTTTAAAAGCCCCCTCACAAGAAAGTTATTACATAAAATGGTGACGAATGCTCTGCCTGATGTCAGACACATTGTGTTTATGAGTTTTGAGATAAGATTTTGGCCTAAAGCATATTTTTTTAAAGTCCGAAGGCAGAGAGGGGACATGCAGCGCATTGTAAGGCAAAAAAGTCCCCAAAGAAAACTTGTAGAAGACACATGGAGGTCCACTGGTCACTGTAATAGTAAGTAAAATGGCTATATTTCTGTTGTAGACATTGTGGCTCCTATCAGCACCACTGTAAAGAAATTCGAGTCTGTAAGTGAACCACTTTACATTAAAACAGTTTGCCTGACTTTTTTTCACATCTCAATCATCAAATTATGCAGATATTTTGAAAAATCAGTGGAATTCACCTTTAGGTACACGTAACTGAGCGAACATGACGACATACAGGCCCACCTCGGCCTGCTTCTGGGCCTATGTATGCTGTTTAATTTCCACGTATGCTTAGCGTTAGTATCGTCCTAATACCAGCCTCATGTGCCCTGGGCTACATGTTATGAGAAGAAGTCGGTGGTGGAGTGGAGATGATTGAGGCAGTAATCTCCCCCAGCATTGTTCCGGCTTTTCCAGGCTAAAGTGGGGGATAGGCCGAACCCACCCTGAAGAAGAATGCAACAACAACCGCTCAAGTTTAGAGTTACGGTGTTACAAATTACTGTGTGTCTGTCTCGCTGTGCGTCTCAGTGTGTGTATTCACACAAACGCTCTCTCCCACAAGTCTGTGCCGCTTAGCGAACATGTCTGAGCACCTCTCTCTCGCCCTTCCTCTCTCTCCTCTCTCCCTCTCTCTCTCTCTCTCTCTCGCGCTCCGTGCTGATGAAGTGTTTGTTTGAGGTGATTACTCTGTATGGGTCATTAGCTTTTAGAGGAGCTTGCTTCTCTCAGCTCAGATCCGGGGGGATTCAGAGTGTCTACGGCTCATTATGAGCGCATTGAGTTCAGCCGCAGTCGTATACACGCCAGGTTTATGTGTCAAAGGTAGACGCTTCATTTCCTAAAATGGGAGGGAAAACTGCGGGGACATTTTTGTAGCTTTAGCTTTATAGCTAATGGTGTTGACTAGGACTGCACACTGCAGACAAGGTAACTTATCATGGCTGTAACACAACCTTCTTAACTTTT